CACTGAACATTGGAAATATGTAGTTACTAAGTATACCATATTTAACTTTTGGATACTGGAACCAATTACTATGGACATTGCAGATGGACACTGGAATCAGTTCTACGTTGAACTAAAATTAGAACTAACACTACCGAAAACTAGCCGCACGTCTATAAAGACGGCTAAACCCAAATGATTCTAGTTCTAAGTACAGTGTTATTTCTAGTAACAGTGCAGATGTAAAACTAGAACTAATACTAAGTACTATGTATACGAACTAGAATCATTTGGAATGATTCTAGTTCTTGGTCTAGCGCTGTACAACAATTAACTAGAACTAACACTAGACCTAGTTTTACATTTGCACTGTCACTTGAACTAACATTAGACCATTTAGCCGCACGTCTCTAAAGACGGCTACACCCGAATGATTCTAGTTCTAGGTCTAGTGTTAGTTCTAGTTTTATTTGTTATTCAGCGCTAAGTTGTTGTATATTTTTATTGAACTAAAAGTAGAATTAACTCTATATCGAGAACTAAACAATTTGGATTTAGCCGTCGTGATAATAACCAAAAAAATCCATGCATATCTGAGGTTATTATGCAAATGATTAATAGAAATAAAAAAAAATCTTCTAATCAATATCTAGCTAAAAATAATTTTAGTAATTAAAGGAATGAAATATTTATAAACACATCAATCAATTTTCAAAAAATTTCCTTGAAGCATTTTTGATTAAAAAAAATTTTTGAATCGACTTCAAACCCAAGATAATCACAAGTTGTTATCAATATCTCTCACGCAAATAAATTTTTTTAATTTAACACAAAAAAAGTTAAAGATCCTCAACGACCATGAAGATGTAAATAGGCATAAAATTCCAATTGAACGCGATAAAGTGTGAAACAGTGAGATTGTTGTGTTAAACTAAATAATAAGATACAATTCGAAATAACTAAGATGGGGTAAACAACAATGTTTGAATAAAAATCAAATCTCCGTGTACATAAAAGCGATAATTAACTATTAATAGATTAATCTTTGGAAATTCTTTGAACTTTCACTTAAAACTAATTTTACAATAATTAATATATTTAGTATGTAATAAATTTCTTATCAAAATAATTACTCATTGTATTAAAAAAAAATGAACAATAAAGACTTTTGTATTTGAAAAAGTGTGGTGTTAGAGAAACGAACTCAACGTTTCAAATTAAAAATTAGACTTTGAACCTATTGTTAGCACAAAGTCTGATGTCTCATGGGACATAGATTGCATCATGTGAAGTTGTCGCGTCTTTTTTAAATCATAAAAACTATACAAAGAACCTTCTTCAAACGAATCTCCAAAGAGACGAGTTCAATTTACAAGATTAATTTGGGTTAATCAACTTTAATTTCATTCAAGACAGAAAAAAAACGTTAAATTAAATTTAAATTCAGGTCAAAGACTTTTAAGATTTAATTATTTTAAGAATAAAAAATGATTCAAAGAAAATTGTTTTGTCTATATCTTATCTGTAAATAAACGTTTGGATTTACACGATTAGTAATGTTTGTTAAGGAAAATTAGTTTTTTGTAAAATAAAAATTATTTTTAGTTAAGTTTTTTATTTATTAAATTTCAAGACGGAATAATAATTATTTATCTTTGTTATTTTAAAAGTTGTTTGTATTTATAAATATTATCTTGTAAAGACTTGTTAAACAATTATTAACGTTTTTTTCCAAGTGATAAAATTTAAAAAAATTAAACAAATTTGTTTTTAAACTTATTTTGAAAACAAATTTGATTTTGTTCTTGTAATATTCTTTTTATATTCATATACATAAGTTTGGATGTTGAATTGGGTTGGGTTGGAAGGAGGGAGTGCTGGTACTGATAGAAAAGCCAAACAAAGCAAGTTGATATGCTTGGAATTATACCACTTGAAACTTCACAATCTTAGCTAAACTTTGACATTGAAAATGCCTTCAATTAAGCCTCTCCAAGTTGAGGACGACGAGATATCTTTCCTTAGAATGGTTCAATGTTGGAGAGTGTCACATCTTTGCATCCGTGCTAGATCAGGGCGAAATAATATGACATAAGCGATGTCTAGAATTCGCGGAGATCTACTCTGAAAAAATGTCTCTGGCCATGGTTGAAGTCTGAGGGGATATGAAAAAATGCTAGATGTTGGTGCATGGAGATACAGAATTAGTTTCACTGCAGGAGGTTAAAGGCTATGCTTATTTGATTTTGGTTGGTGTTAGTGTACAAGTAAAAAAAAAACAAAACACAAAAACGTAATAATAATAAAAAATAAGTATAAAGTTACAAAAACAAAATTACAACAAAATTGCAAAGGCTAACAGGTAGCTGGGTCAGACAACACCACAAAGTAGTGAGGTCTGCTCTTCCCCAGTCCCCATGAACACAACATATTGCTTCTAAGTAAGTAGTGAAAATGAATATGAATACAGCGCACAAGACAAAAAATACAAAAAACAAAAATTGAATGCATGAATAAAGCAAATAACAAATAAAGCAAATATAAATTAAACTTTTACTCTAGAAAACCTAAATTGATTCCATCTGTCGCTCACAGAGATATCGCTTGTATTTATATTTAAAACTCGACAGGTTCAATATTTTTAATGAACGAGGAAGGGTATTCCAAAAGTTTGTCACACAATAAGTGAAAGAATTCCGAAATGAAGCCGACGCGTGACGAGGAACTGTAAGTGCATCTTTTCGACGAATATTGATATTGTGGATGTCAGTATTATACGATATCTTCTTGCTCAGATAAACAGGTGTTTTTCTTATTTAAAATTTTAAAATAAACTACTCCCCTGTGAAAAATGATCCTGTTATACATATTTAGCCACCCACATTCTTTTAACTTATGTGAAATTCTGCAGTACTTTCGAATTCCATAAATTAGTCTTAAGAACCCATTTTGGACATACTGCACCCGTCTTCAATTGTCCCCAGTTATGCAAAATAATCGCTTAATAAATAATATAAATCGCTTGTACATTTCATATTTACAATAATTTTTACATTAAACTGAAATGTAGCAACTATTATCGGTCAGAGGAAGTATAATTTAATAATAAAAATGGCGTCAAGTGATGTACTTCGCGCTGGCATCAATGTGGTAGCCCAAATCTCCTTGGAACTTCACAAGTTATTAACAAAAGAAAAGCGAAAACATTGTTGCTGGGTTAGATCGTGGATTGCACGTAGAAATAACCTAGGTACGCCTAGTACTTTAATTAGAGAATTATGCCATGAAGATCAGAAAGCATTTTTTAATCATTTAAGAATGACTGAAGAGAGTTTCATGTTTTTGTTGAGGCAAGTATCCTCTAAAATGCAAAAACAATTTACGCATATGAGAGATGCCCTTCCAGCTCACGTAAAACTGCAAGCAGCTTTAAGATTTTTGGCCTCTGGAGATTCTTTTACATCCTTGCAATATATGTATCGTTTGCCAAAAAGCACTTTTCTTTTGCTTTTACAGAGGTTTCGTCAAAATTAGGAACTGTTTTCTTCATAATTTCAACTATCCTTCTGACAGCTTCATTTCGTGCTAGTCGGTTCTTATATTATGGGATTTTCTGATTCCTCAAACCAGGGATATTGTTCATACATTTCTAGAAATAATACTGTTTGTTCTGATGTCCATTTTAGTTGGACGAACACATTAATAGTTACACGTTTTCTTTATAAATACTGTTACTGGCGCCAAAAAGTAGAAGTAGCGTCAACTTTATTGGCGCTATGATTACTGACACCAATTTATTGGCGTCAGTGATTTTCTGCTATTTCCACATACAAATGAACTGGTGCCAGTCGGCTGGCGCATAATCCGTGTGGAAACTTAGCTTTAGAAGCCGAGGAAAGATTTTGAATAAATCTTATCGTAGAAGGTTAAAGGCTATGATTAGATACTCAATCGATGGTAAAGAGGAGGACTTCTCTATTTCAGATTGCCACGTCTCCTTAATTACGAGGTATGCAATATTTGACCTCCTAGCATCTATTATACAATGGAAGAATCTCGGATAGCCAAAACACTTTGTCAACCCAGACATCGTGGAACGAGCTTTAGAAACCAAGGAAGGATTTTGAATAAATCTTATCGTAGAAGCTTAAAGGCTAAGATTAGATTCTCAGTCAATGGTGAGGAAGAGGAGCTTCTTGCGCTATTTGAATGCTTCTCTATTTGAGAGTGCCACGTCTCCTTAATTACAAGATATGCAATATCTGACCTCCTAGCATCTATTATACAATAAGACAATCTGGGATAGCCAAACCACTTCGTCAATCCAAAAATCGTGGAACGTGCTTTAGAAACCGAGGAAGGATTTTGAAGAAATCTTATCACAAAAGGTTAAAGGCTATGATTAGATACTCAGTCGATGGTGAGGAGGAGCACTTCTTGCGCTATTCTAGTAGAATGCTTCTCTATTTGAGAGTGCCACGTCTCCTTAATTACGAGGTATGCAATGTTTGACCTAATCTAGCATCTATTATACTATAGGACAATCGCGGATAGCCAAAACACTTTTTCAATCCAAAAATCGTGGAACGTGCTTTAGAAACCGAGGAAGGATTTCCATGTTTTCCATAACAGTCATGACGAAGTAAACAGAACCCTAAATTTAGATTTTTATTTGCCGGCAAAAAACGAGAATATCTCCAAATAGTAAGATCAATGAATTTTGACAATCTTTTAAGAATATAAAGAGAGTGGAGCAATTTTACTGGCATTTGTAGATTATCTAACATTAATAGTAAAGGGTAAAATGTCTAAACACACCTGAAAGTTTTTTAGATTGAGTGATTATAACGAATGTTCGAACTATTGTTGTATTATATAAAATATGTCTATTTCAGCACAAATTTTGACATACACTATGTCAAGATTCATTCAAATATTGCATTTATAATTCATAAATCAACATATTTCTAGAATTCAGGTTTTTTTGAATTATAGGAGAGAAAAAATAAAAGAATTTTTACCTGCTTTTGAAGAAGCTTCCGTAACATTATTTTCCTTTAAATCCAAATACAATTTATCCTGAATAACGCTGTAGGAGTTTATCACCCCAAAAAGGATCCCGTTGCAAAGAAACGATCCCACCAGAATTAGCCAAGCTCTAAATCCACCATCCGGGGGGGTAAAACACTCCACTTCTTCATCTTCATTTTCTAATTTATCTTTTTCTTCGAACTTTTCTCGTTTTCCTTGAAAACCATTCTCCATTAAATGACCGTTTTCTTTCTTCATTTTTACTTCTTTAAAATATTTTTATTATTTTATTATTATTGAAATAAAATGATTTAATTTAAATTGTATTTAGCCACGTGGATCATTGATTTTTTAAAATTGTTTTTCACTTAACCAAGGTTTGCAATGGACTGAGTTGGTGGACGATTAAGTATTAGATGCGTTTCAAAATAAGCTCGGTTCGTCTCCTTCCTTTTTGGAGTTTGCAGTGGAAGGAGAAATGTTATCAAAAAAAGACGTCACGACACAGCGCATTATATGCAGTCGACGCGCGATTGAGTAAGATCGCGATATTTTCAAGGTTAAAAGCTTTTATTTCCGAAATTTGAAATTGGAGCCGTTCTAAACTTATTTGGTGCTGGTGATAAAAGGTTACAACTAAAAAGGTGCTTGGCAGGTATCGATTTAAATTACGGGTAATTGTAATCGTATTTTTAGTGCCATCTAGTAAGAAATAGATTATAATTGAATTTAAAAAGTTATTTCAATTTAATTTTTTAAAATTAAAAGCTTTATTAATTATATTTTATGGATAATTAAGAAAAATTAATTGTGGTGTATGCAACCCATTATACTTGCATAAAATTTATGCAACCAAATCTCTCAATATTAATTTATAACAAATAATGTTAATAAATTATAAATGTGAATAAACTCACCAATTTATGTTGTTGGATTATGGATGGTAAATTGAAAATTTTGAGGAAAAATTAGGTTGAATCACTAAAACAGAAAGTTAAATTTTAGGTTATTAATCAAATGTCAATGTTAATAAAAAAATATTTATAACATTTCTTGTAAAATTTGTTCTCATTTTTACTATCATCTAGTAAAAAATAGATAATAAAAAGGATTATTAATTAATTAAATTAAATTTAAAAAGTTATTTCAATTTAACTTTTAAAAATTAACAGCTTTATTAATTATATTTTATGGGTAATTAAGAAAAATTAATTGTGATGTATGCAACCCATTATACTTTTATAAAATTTGTGCAACCAAATCTCTCAATATTAATTTATAACAAATAATGTTAATTAACTATAAATTTGAATAAACTCACCAATTTGTTGTTGGATTATGGATGGTAAAGAATTGGAAATTTTGAGGAAAAATTAGGTTGGATCACTAAAACAGAAAGTTAAATTTTAGGTTATTAATTAAATGTAAATGGCAATAAAAAAAATCATAACATTTTTTGTAAAATTTGCTCTCATTTTTACTGCCATCTACTAGTAAGAAATAGATTATAAAAAGGGCTTTTATTAATTAATTAAATTGAATTTAAAAAGTTATTTCAATTTAATTTTTTTAAATTGACAGTTTTATTAATTATATTTTATGGATAATTAGGAAAAATTAATTGTGATGTATGCAACCCATTATACGTTTATAAAATGTATGCAACCAAATCTTTCACTATTAATTTATAACAAATAATGTTAATTAATTATAAATTTGAATAAACTCACCAATTTGTTGTTGGATGGTAAAGAATTGGAAATTTTGAGGAAAAATTAGGTTGGATCACAAACAGAAAGTTAAATTTTAGGTTATTAATTAAACGTCAATGTCAATAAAAAAAATCTAACATTTTTTGTAAAATTTGCTCTCATTTTTACTGCCATCTACTAGTAAGAAATAGATTATAAAAAGGACTTTTATTAATTAATTAAATTGAATTTAAAAAGTTATTTCAATTTAATTTTTTAAAATTAATAGCTTTATTAATTAATTATACTTTATGGATAATTAAGAAAAATTAATTGTGATGTATGCAACCCATTATACGTTTATAAAATTTATGCAACCAAATCTTTCAATATTAATTTATAACAAATAATGTTAATTAATTATAAATTTGAATAAACTCACCAATTAATGTTGTTGGATTATGGATAGTAAAGAATTGGAAATTTTGAGGAAAAATTAGGTTGGATCACTAAAACAGAAAGTTAAATTTTAGGTAATTAATGAAATGTTAATATCAATAAAAAATATCTTTATAACATTTCTTGTAAAATTTATTCTCATTTTTACTCATTAATTATTTACAAATAACAAATGTCAACTATAAAAAATAAATACAAATATAACTTACGAGAGAAAAATAATTTGCTTCTTTCATTCATCTTTAATAATTAATAATTAGAAATGGGACTATGAGAACAAAACGATTTGTTTAAATAAAATAAGAACAAAATGTAAAAACGACTTTTCCTCTATGAGCAAAAAAAAACCGATTACAAAAATAAAAAAATATAATACATCAAGCATAATACAATCGTAGTTGATTTTATTCTTAAACGGTTTATTTTGACGGATTTGTTTTGGTTTTTTTTTAAGTATAACTCTTTTTTCGATTCGTATCAATTTTTACAAGTTAATTTAACGAATACCTTTTTAATGCGATAAATAATCTTTTTTTTTATATTTTGACTAGCATAAGCTCCGATTTTTCGCAAGCTTTATTTTTTTAATAACTTTTATCTCTACTAATATAAACCAAATACTTGTTAAAACTTTCGTTTGCGAAAAATAATACCGAAAATAAAGAAAAACATCTATCTTATCAACGAAATAAAGACAAATACGGTGAAAATAAAACTTAGTTTCTTTTTATACATCAATAATAATAATACTATTTTTAATATCACAATTATAACCTTATATACTTTTTTTATCGTTATTATTAAGAGTTTATTTTTTTATGTTACTATTAAATCATAATCTGTTTTTGTTGAATTTTTTTTCAAACACTCTCCTTTTTTACTATCTAATAGAGTACAAAAACAAAATAATTTTACATACTTTATATTGTGCAGTTATTGTTATCTGGTTCCGTTTCTCTTTTTATTTAGTTTAAACCAATTTCTTTCATTGTAATAACAATTATTTCCTTTTATTTGATTAGTAAAAACTTAATTTAATTGCGATTAAGTGCATGATATCTTTGTACCTTATACAGTAGTTTTTTTCTTTCATTAAACTTTATTTCTAGGGACCTATACTTTCTCTAATTTAAAAAAGAAAATTTTTCTTGTTTTTTTTTGGTTTTGTACGATTAATAATAAAGAATTTGTTTAGAATTCCTCCGAAATAAAATTAACAACAAAAAAAATTACCTTCACTCTCCTTTCGTTATTACTCTTACCTCTTTTTCATTAATCGTTATAAATTAATCGTATCCAAATCTTGTATAGGAGCCCTACTACTACTTCCGGCCGAACTATGTCCTACATCCAAAGCGGAAGTCGCCGTGCTTCCTCCCCCCACCGGAACGACACTCGAATGTTTATGCCCTCTACCTTCCGAGCCAGGATTAATCATCTTAACCAACCCGGGAATCGAAAAATCTGTATTCGGCAATTTCCGCATAATCTTCCCGGAAGTAATCAATCGTCCGAAACCTTCCTGATGCGCAAACGCGTATCCGGACCGTATCGAGCGTCGAGCCGGTCTTGTAGATGGCGTTCGAAGGACGTCTTGGCTCTGCCGCGATCGCATTTGTAATAGGCGTTGTTTCAGACGGACTCGGTCTGTTAACGTTGGGAACACGTCGACGAAATAGAACCGCCACGCAAGTACAGGCATTATCGAAATGATTACAGTGAGGACGGTCGTGAACCAAAAGTTCAATTGGGACATGGCTTTTGTGAGCGAGCCGACGTACGGACCGCCGATTACGTAATTGTAAAAGTAATCCATCATGAAATAGAATGCTAATGAACCCCAAACCATTATGTGATTGAATACGGTCCAATATTGAGTATCTAAAGCGATCTAAAAAAATTCAATGATAAAATTAAACTTTATAAATTCAAATATTATTTTAATATATGTTCAACACACATTAATTTAATTAATACCGTTTATAACAAATATACGTCATGAGAATAGATTTAGCACAAATAACTATTTGACTATATTTTTGTACTTATCTGTTTGTAACTGTTCTTACTTAGATATGGAATTCATGTTGTAAGTTTCAATTTCAATATTTCAAAAAACTAGTAAAAAAACTTCTTACTTGCTTTAAAATAATATATTTATTTGGAATCGGTTTCGAGCAGTGTTCTACTCATCATCAGCCGAATCTACGTTAAAAAACATATCATATGACAGATATTTGAATATAAAATAAGTAGAAAAAGTAATATATTTACAACTTACTGTCATAAAGTTAGAAAACACGACTTCAATAACATTTGGTTGTGAAAGTTTCTTATTAAATAATTTACATAAACTACAGAAGTGTACAATGTAGTAAGTTAATTAATGTAGCAATATATTTAATAAACACTTTTAAAAGACGAAAACAAACGACTCGGCATGGGGCAGGAGAACAACTAAGAGACTAAAAAAGCAAAACGGGACACGAGAGTTCAAACAAAAACAGAAAAATTTTATGATGTTTTAAAAGTTAATAACATATTGTATTAAATTTTTGCTCCAATAAGTCCATTTTTGGATCTTTGTTACATTGGTGAATAAGTTTGACATTGTTGTTTATAATATGAGTAGCTTAGGATCAAAAATGGCCAAATTCAAGGACAGTAGAGTCTAACAAGACTTCTACATCCATTGTTGTTTTGTAGCCCACTACGGGTTGGTTGCCCACACTCTACGTCACACTATTTGCCACGCCCAGTTACCTGTCATTTAGTTCTATGAGTTTGCTGTGTGTTTTTAGAGATTATATGATAGACATATGTTAATACACGATTTACTTTTGAAGTTAATATGAATACGTCTACGATATACGATTGAGGTTGTTTGGTTGTGAATTAAATAAAATATATCCTTATAACCTCTTTTTAAGGATAAATATACAAAACGTGTTTCGTTATGAAAGTGATGGAAAAGAACTCAAGTTTTATTAAAAAAGTAAACAATAATAAATTTTCATGACAACGCCATGGTATAATGATTTTACAAATATTTTAATTTAACATCAGGTGGGTTCTGTGACGGTAACGCTACAACGATATAACCTCTAAAAATAGACGCGTGGCTAATGTAAAGTGTGCGGGACACTACGTCACAGTCCTGTTAAGGTGGTTACACACATAACTACAAACTTGACAAGCATCCATGATCAATCTTTTTGTACAAGCGTGTAAAATTTGCCTTCGACACCACACGATACAAGTATGCTTGAACAAGCGCCAGTTTGCGCTTGGACTATGTCGAGTTCGGGCAACGATGCACTGGCACTGGCTGCTGTTTGCCTTGTCCATAAGAGGAAAACGCGCAAGGAGAAACGTGATATATGGTGTAAAGAGTGATTATTGAAGAAAAAAAACCTACTGCCATATTAATTTACTGACAATGAGTGAATTGAAGATATATCCACGTGACTGGCATAATTATCTCAGAATGAACGAAGAAACTTATATGAACCACATCGATTACATCGTATAATTGATTTTTTGGTATACACGTGCGGTTACGCTTGCGCAAGCGGCGTTTGCATGATTAAAATTCAATCCATCATCAAGCGGATTGCACAAGCAAATTGTTTGTGCAAAATTATCCAAACACTAAAGTATACTTGTACAAAAAGATTGATCATGCATACTTGTCAAGTTTGCAGTTACGTGTGTAGCCACATTTAGATTCTCCTGTCCTTGGACGAAATCCACATTTTGTCATTTTCGGTTTTATTTTATTTTGCAACTCTAGATGGGTCTCTGCATGTTTTCCATTNAAACATCGTTTTAATGGAAAGTCCGCTGCCCAGTTTATGATCCCTAATCTTCCTCTATCTCACCCAATTTCAAAAGAAAAGGTTGCTAATATGAAAAAACTTCTAAATCTCATGGTTGGGGAAAACTGGGAAGATACTACCGAAGATTTCATTCATTGATACCCAACTGTTCTAACCTTACAACCAGTAAGTTTAGTAGAAGAAGAGGACACAGTCTGTGATTGTTTAGTTCCTGAAGTTGTTGTTCATATTTAATTATTCATTAATTAATACGTTTCTTGTATTTTTAATAAACAAACTTTATCTACAAATAATATTTTATTGGTGAACAAAGTCAGGGATAAGACACTGAAAAATTTAAATCAACTATTCAAAGTTTTTATTTGTTGGTACAAAACCAACTTTATCCTGCATAATGGTACAAGACCAACTTTCTGTCATATTCGTGCAAAACCATACAGCAATTAGGTAGTTTGGTAGTAACTACTGTCCGAACCCGCCTACTATAATCAAAATTTTGAACTTTAGCGCTTACTATTTTGGAATTGAAAATTAACGCTTATTTTTCGCAATTACGCCATACATGCGATACATCATTGGAAAGCTAAAAATATGCTCTTTTCATAAACATCATAATCAAGTATAGTTTGTATTTAAAAAAAAAATAACTTTGTGTTGTATCTCAAAAATCATTAAATATTTTTAAAATTTTTCAACGGAAGTATTTGACTTTTTGGCTATAACTTAAAAACCAAAGAAGATAGAGGTTTGGTGTTTGCGAGATTAGCTCAGTCCCGAAAAATGAGACCGGGACATGACACCTACTTTTTTCGTATCTCTTATAGTTTCTGAGATAGCCTATAATAACACCCAAATTTGCCCACCCTGTATAATGTAGTAAGTTAATTAATGTAGCAATATATTTAATAAACACTTTAAAAAGACAGAAACAAACGACTCGGCATGGGGCAGAAGAACAACTAAGAGACTAAAAAAGTAAACCGGGACACGAGAGTTCAAACAAAAACAGAAAAATTTTATGTTGTTTTAAAAGTTATGTTATATTGTATTAAATTTTTGCTCCAATAAGTCTATTTTTTGATCTTTGTTACATTGGTGAATAAGTTTGACATTGTTGTTTATTATATGAGTAGCTTACGATCAAAAGTGGCTAAATTCAAGAACAGTAGAGTCTAACAGGACTTCTACATCCATTGTTGTTTTGTAGCCCACTACGGGTTGGCTGCCCACACTCTACGTCACACTATTTGCCACGCCCAGTTACCTGTCATTTAGTTCTATGAGTTTGCTGTTTTTAGAGATTATATGATAGACATATGTTAATACACGATTTACTTTTGAAGTTAATATGAATACGTCTACGATATACGATTGAGGTTGTTTGGTTGTGAATTAAATAAAATATATCCTTATAACCTCTTTTTAAGGATAAATATACAAAACGTGTTTCGTTATGAAAGTGATGGAAAAGAACTCAAGTTTTATTAAAAAAGTAAACAATAATAAATTTTCATGACAACGCCATGGTATAATGATTTTACAAATATTTTAATTTAACATCAGGTGGGTTCTGTGACGGTAACGCTACAACGATATAACCTCTAAAAATAGACGCGTGGCTAATGTAAAGTGTGCGGGACACTACGTCATAGTCCTGTTAAGGTGGTTACACACATAACTACAAACTTGACAAGCATCCATGATCAATCTTTTTGTACAAGCATGTAAAATTTCCCTTCGACACCACACGATACAAGTATGCTTGAACAAACGCCAGTTTGCGCTTGGACTATGTCGAGTTCGGACAACGATGCACTGGCACTGGCTGCTTTTTGCCTTGTCCATAAGAGGAAAACGCGCAAGGAGAAACGTGATATATGGTATAAAGAGTGATTATTGAAGAAAAAAAACCTACTGCCATATTAATTTACTGACAATGAGTGAATTGAAGATATATCCACGTGACTGGCATAATTATCTCAGAATGAACGAAGAAACTTATATGAACCACATCGATTACATCGTATAATTGATTTTTTGGTATACACGTGCGGTTACGCTTGCGCAAGCGGCGTTTGCATGATTAAAATTCAATCCATCATCAAGCGGATTGCACAAGCAAATTGTTTGTGCAAAATTATCCAAACACTAAAGTATACTTGTACAAAAAGATTGATCATGCATACTTGTCAAGTTTGCAGTTACGTGTGTAGCCACATTTAGATTCTCCTGTCCTTGGACGAAATCCACATTTTGTCATTTTCAAATTTTAGATAGTATGTGCTCAAATATTTATATGCGGATATTCATCAGCTACTCCTCCGGAGATGCCTACATGTGGGCATAATACGAAGTCCTTCAGGTGCTCAACAATCAGTAAAGAAATTATTTTGAAAAACTAAAACAAGATTCTTTTGAGGTGAACTTTTTTGATTTCGGATATTAAGGAAAGAGCTACAAAACATGTCTGCTGTCCAACATTTCTTAATGTTCTGGGTATTACTAAACACAGGATAGAAGGAGTGGCACGACGTTACTTCCTTGAGGGTAAGATTTCCAAGAAAAGAGGGGCGGTGATAGAAAGACCGCTCAGTTCACTTCAAAATGCGCTGCTATAAGAACATTTATTAAGCAATTCAAATGCACAGAATCCCATTACTGCAATGTACGAAAAGCAGGTTCAAGATAATATTGGATTTGGAACATCACAAACGGATATGTCTTCAAAATGTTTTCAATTAGAAAAAAAGTAAAGAAAGAAAAGCATGAGTTACCAAAAGGATCTAATGAAATAGCGTCTTGTATTTATCACAGACTCGATTATGTTAATGCTTGGAAAGTGGCTCCTACACAAGGCGCCTTCAACTCTTGAAAAAATAGAATGCATTTTCCCTGTTCCACCAAATAAAGTGTTTGCAGGGATAGAAAAAGTCATCAGAAAGAAGGAGGCACTTTCTCAACCAGAGGAATTTTACACAATTTTGCTATGGCCAGGTATTTCACTTGGGAAGTGACGTTCCTAATCTTGATTGGAAAAGTAAAGTTAATGCTATTATGAAGCCACCAGGGCAGTGGCATTTAGACAAAAAAATAATAGTATTCTTATTCAACGAGAATTTACTTATAAGTCCGAGCTTATAGGGGGTTATAGTGAAGTTGGTAGAGAGGGAAAATGTGTAAACAAAGGAAAACCTAAACAAAAATTTGGAGAAAATGCTTGAAATATTTCATTTTGACTCATCGTAAATATTAAGCCGCAACTAAAACAGTTTTTTTATCACATGCATATGCCAGATTACTATTTAGGAAGGTGTCTTAAGAAAAAAAAAAAAAAGCGAAAATAGCAACATAGAACCTAAATCTACAATATCTAAACTTAATGTTACTCCACATAAGAACTTTACTAACATTATATTCAGTAAAGAAGAATCAGATTTTCTTAACAAAGGTCATAAACTGACCGCTATAGACTTTGACGTAGCTATCACGGGAATATCAGAAAAGAAAACCATCAAACATGAATTGATTTCTCTCTTGAAAAGATTAGAAAACAAATAAACATAAATAAAACCTCTAATATACAACATTCGAATATCATAAAATCTATAAAGAAAAAGCTTGAAGAAAACAAATTTTTGTAAACGCAGACAAAGGATCTGGAATAACAATTATTGAAAAAAATTCTTACATTCAAAAGACTTTTACTTTCATATATAATAATAATAGCTGACTAAAAATCCAATAACCAACATCAATAGAAAAACAAAAGTAATCAACACTTGGGAAGAAATTTTACTATACTATACCCTCAAGTTAAACATTTCGAACAATTATTTCTTCAATAGTTACATCACGCATATGAGACCTGAAATTCCTAAAGTTTACTCATTACCTATTATATCCCTTTGTAACGATAATACTTCAAAGTTAGCTAATTTTATGTTCAACATTTTCAAGTTTATTGACTTCCAACCTAAATTTTCCGTTTCGAATTCACTACAATTCCAAGAATATTGAACTTAACAATAAAATCCTTATTTCCTTTGATGTCACAAACCTTTATTCTAATATTCCTGTAGAATATACGCTTCACTTAACATCATATTTTTGAAAAATTTAAACAACACTATAGTGAAGCATTTGAATACAATTTTGGGATACGTTGTTACACAGAACTACTGCTCTTTTGATAACAACTACTATAAGATTACTGAAGGCCTTTCCATGGGTATCTCACTGTCAGGACTTTTATCTGAAATATTCCTGGACCATATTGAAAATACTTTTATAATCAATGATTGCAACTCTTTTAAACAATACATAACCACTTGGGTTATGTATTGGGCTCTTCCATCTACATCAACTAGCTTTACTCTAATCTGAATTTTACTTTAGAATTAGAAAAAAAACAAATCTCTTAATTTTCTCGATTTATACTTAGGAATTTGAACAATAAAATGACTCTTCTCATCCATTGCCCCATAAGTTGGCAAATTTCCGTTTTTTCTTCAATAGAGCAATTAACTACCCACTATCAGAAGAAGATAAAACAAAAGAATTTACTTATATTTATGAACTGGTTATGGTCAATAAATTTCTGAATATAATTATTAATAAACTCCTATATAACATAAAATTAAACTTCAGAAAGATCTCTTATACTTTAAATGCATAGAACCTAAGATTTACCTAGATATACCTAAGATAACCTAGATTATAAACCTAAAGGTGTAATATATTCTTGGCTTTTTCCAATAATAATTCTATTCTGAAATTACTCTTAAACCGTCATATGGAGAGAACAGACATTTTTGAAAAATGCGAAGTTTATTCTGTAGAATATTCGAACTGCAATGGAATATACATAGGGCAAACAGGAAAAAAATTGGGTATACGAATACATGAACACAAGAATAAAATTAACTCAAACGTTTATAGACATCACATTGACACCAAACATAAAATAAACTACAACAATGTCAATATTATTCACCAATGTAACAACGCAATATTAGATTTACAAATTCTAGAGAAATAATGATTATACACTGTTAAATGATCAAATTGATATTGACTATAATCCATTATTTAAGTATTTAAGAGAAATTTAATAGAAATAAATTAAGAAACTTTCACAACCAAACGTTACTGAAGTGGTGTTTTTAACTTTATGACAGTAAGTTGTAAATATATTACTTTTTCTACTTATTTTATATTCGAATATCTGTCATATGATATATTTTTTAAGGTAGATTCGGCTGATGATGAGTAAACATTGCTCGAAATCGGTTCTGAATAAACATATTATTTTAAAGCAAGTAAGAAGTTCTTTTTTTACAAGTTTGTTGAAATATTGTTCTTACTTATTACAACATTTCAAATTAGGTTGCTTAATGGTTTAACTTACAATTAGTAATGATATGGCGTGTATGAGTTTTTTGATCAAGTGTACAGGGTCTGTCACGACGAGTCTATATGTATATGGCAAACTACTGGCACTATTCTTGTGAAAATTTGCTAAAAGTGCTTGTTTCAGCTAAAACATTTTCAGTTATCCCCAACTTCCGGTTATACCGGAAATGGACCCCAACTTCCGGTTATACCGGAAATGGACCCCAACTTCGTTATTTTAAATAGAATGTACCAATTTTTATTGAATTTTCGAAATTCCCGCTAAATTTTAATATAATTTGATATAACTCATCATATATTATGTCTAGAGTGCATCATTTTTGAATTATTTCAGTTTTTTCGAACACTTTGGCAGATGCAATTCTTCACAATAAAAAGAATTCAGCTCGTCGTGACAGACCCTGTACATCTCTTATTATTCTTATTACCTGTGCAGTATTTACGATGACTAAAATTGTTGCTACAACACTGCAAAATAACATGTAGTCAGATAATCCTTGTCCATTTGCCGCCACAGCGTCGAAATAAGTTCCTGAAAAAAAAAATTATAATGTAGAAATGTACGTTTTCTTTAGGACTTATGTAAAAAGCTACAATAATTTTTATACTTACCGAATGTAACGAAAAACAAAACCAACGATACATAACATCCTTGTAAAGCACTCAATAGGAACTCTTTTTTATTGAAAAATAAGTTGATGTGGCCCGGTTTGTACAACTGAGGATAAAGAATCGAGTTCTTATCGCTCACATCTTGGTCAAAAATACCAACAGCCAGAACTGGTAATGAAGTGTAAAAGAGGTTGTAGACGGATATATACATTGGGTCGAATATGGTCTACAAAAAAAAAGTCAATACTAAATAAATTATTTAAATTTTTTAGATTTCCTTTACCTGTGCGCTAAAGCCACAAAAAAAAGCATACCAAAAATGACACAACGTAAACGCAAAGTTCTTATTAAAAAAATAACGTAGAAAACTACACATCCGGTAATAAGACCATCGACCATGCACCAATAAGAGTCGCTCTAAGAAATGAAATTGGGCTATTGAATAATCCGAAGCGAGGACGGCCTGCATCCCCTCTTGACCGGAAATACCTACTCCTATATGTGCAGCTAAAAACAAATTAATTTAAAAAAATAACGTTATGATAATACCGACAAAAAAACCTTTTATCATTGAAACATCATTGGCTCCATCCCCAATGGCCAAAGTAACCGCGTGCTTATGCTTTTTGATCATTTCAACTACAAGTGCTTTTTGTAACGGCGTCACCCGACAACAAATAACCGATCGGCATTGGGTAACAACTTCCAAAAATAGTCGTTCCAATTGCGGGTGTAAACAATGTACCAAAGAATGTCCGTTAACTACAATTGCAAATCCAGCGCCGGAATCTTCCGTTTTATTATCGGGGGTTCCACTTCGATATTCAAGTTCAGTACTAAAATAATATATTAATAAATTTGTTAAGACACATAAAAAGATTTAAAAAGAGCAAGGTAAATACTAAAATCTAGAGAGAATTTATTAGAAATTTGTTAGAATGAAAGAAAAATAATCTAACTAAAGAAAAATGTGTCAGTTACAAAAGCGAACACAATATCTTTTTTAAACTCTCTTATTCGTGTCTACCTTGCCGGAGAATTTGAATTGACTGATTGAATATCATCGTCCCACCTGAAAGTGACAACGCTAACGGCGGGAGCGTGCGGTGGCGAACCGGGAATCATTTCGTTCCCGTTTCGTGTCGACGATTCGTTCATATTTCCGTTGGTCGCGGCGGGATTATTTGGACTGCGCGGTTGGTACCTGTGGACTATTTTGATGTTATCACGGAACTTTAACAGTTGTTGTTGGACCTCATCATAACTTGAAGCGTCCACAATGAATAAATCGATCATGTCATCCGTTAATAGTTGGCAAGAATATCCAACATTTATAGCAGTTTCTAAAAAAAATTATTATTTAATTTTTTGATTATTGACATTAAGGCTGTAGTCTCAGGGCTGAAAATTTTATTCCAACAGAACGCGTTTACCGTTTGATATAACCAAAAAATTTTCAAATAAAAAATTTATAAAAAGACGAACTCAAAAAATTGAGGACAAAATTGGGACAGGACAAAAAAATTGAAAAAAAAACACCAAATTGTTTAAGTTAAAACATAATTTTCGTGGCTTCTTCGCGAATTGTTCAACCAGATTATTAATAAAACCATCAAAGTTCTCAAAAATATGCTTCCTATACACACTCATCATGGCAAGACGACATCCTGCCATAGTGCTTCTAAGCCATTTTTTATTGTCCTCAAGCTGTTAAAAGATCGTTCAACAGTATATGTCGTGCAGGGTAAAGTGCACTAATTTCTGCAAAAACTTGATACACTGGTCATCTCTTCTTACGTCTAGTGCAGAAAAGTTGTGACGCTGCAGCAGGGATGCGTAATCCATTCCACGATCCGGGTATGATCCGTCCAGGCGTAGAGACAAATATTTGAGAAATCTCCTCTGAATTCTCTCCAATATAAGTCTATGACACACATAATGTGGCGACCAAATTACAGAGCCATATTCCAATTTGGACAATACAAAGGTCGAAAATAAGGTCTTGTACACATCGATATCAGAAAAAGCACGCGAGGTGCGCAAAACGAAACCAAGCATCTTCGCTGCAGAAGATGCAATATTTTCGATGTGAGGTACAAAAGACAATTTGCGGTCAAAAGTTACTCCCAGATCCTTGATTGTAGATAGTTTCTCAAGAAGAACACCTTCTATATAATAAGAAGATGGAAGAGGAGACAGCTTGCGTGTAAAAGTAACCGCACCGCACATATTGGCATTAATCTTTAGCTGATAACGGTTACACCATTCCACCAAGACGTTCAAATCCGAATGAAGACTGACAACATCACGGTCCGCAAAAATAAGTCGGAATAAATTCAGATCATCCGCATAAGCCAGTACGCTTGATGAAAATTTGTCTAGAAGGTCATTCAAGAAGATAACAAATAGACCTGACCGCCCCTATCCAAAGATTCACAAATTACCTCAGTAACCACCGCGAGGTTGGTAATGGTCGAACGACGCTTGATAAACCCATGTTTTTCCGTTTTTCCACATTTGGTTGACATACCAGGTGCCTTAATATATTCAGGCAAATTAAAATCATCAAGGATAAGGACAGGATAATTCAAAACTTTATGTTCTAGGGCGTCCAAGAAACATAGTAAATCAGGTTGCGGATTATCAGGAGGTATGTACAACACCACGATATATTAGGTCACAGACCATAAAGAGCACTTGCAAATCAACACATCGATAAGTGGTACTAAAGCCTGAATGTCTATAGAATCAACCAGCTCAACATTATGATGATTAGCTACAGCAAGCAGAACTCCACCACCTCTGTTATGTCCAACCAAATCAAACTTACGATCAGCTCGTACGACTCTGTACTTATCCACGAATAATTCATTAGATCCAAGATCCGAATTTAAATTAGTTCCCGATAGAGCAATCAAATCATAGGTACAATCAGAACAATTAACATAAAATTCACGCGTTTTTGTACGAAGACCATTAACATTTTGATAGTATACATTAACAGATTGATACATTTTGTTGGGCAAAATCAGTTTTCCGAAGCCTTGACAATTGAGGGAATGCCACGGATGTACTTTAGTATCAAATCCTTTTTGCCAGACTCAGTTCTTGTTTTTAATTCAGTCCTCGCCCTCCTATAAAGATCAACCTGGAAAGGAGTACGATCATTCGAGACAGAGATGTTCTTAAATTCATTATGGGATTTCAAATTCCGCATATTACGAAAAATAAGCTTAAAAGAATTATGATCTGATAATTTTACTCATATAGGCCTAGATCTCGCGGTATTAGAAGCGTCAAATTTACCACAGCGAAAAGGCTGTATAATAAGTTCAGTAACCCCCAAATGCGTAAATAGTTTGCTTAGAAAGGCAACATCCGCATCACCTTGTTCTTTTCGTGATAAACCGTGGGATTCTGGAATATTATAAATCATCAGATTATTCTTCCTACGCTCGCATTCCATCACTTCGTGTGTAATTTTTTCGGAATCAAAATCAGTTAAAGAATGTGAAGATGGCGGAGTAACATTTGATTTCAGAGCAGCAATATCCTTCTGGAGAGAGAGTATGACGGCTTTCAGACTGTTTAAGTCATTCCCCAATGAAACGCACGAGACGCATGGGAAAGAGAGACCCTTCCCCGCATGAACCTTGCGCGCCTCAGCCGCAGAGACATCGACACAACTAATATTAAATATCTTGCTACAGACGTAGCACCTCACAGTGCGATGTTGTTCGCACTGGCGATTACAACAGGCACATTTATCCATCAGGCGTATGTCCACGACGATCTAAAAGGAAGGAGATGGGATAACACTCTTCACACCTGTAGTGCCCGTTACGGTGACTGACAACACAGAAAGGCAGGCCCCGGAGAAGGAAAAAGGATAAAGAGAGAGTCAGGAGTAGATCAAAGGAGACAATACACCACCCAGAGTGCGATAGCAAATCAATCCTGTTTCTTACCGAGCAATGAAATTGCTACGATAATCTCAATACCAACCAAAGCAAATAAACAAATTTAATAAAGACAAGCATTCGCCGCTATAATCACTTACTAATTACGGCAACGTGAAGCACGAACATAGACTCACACTTCGGTAACAAATATACCTCAGAATAACTAGTCTCACCAAGCAAAACCAAGCAGCAAACACAGCGAATATGACACGTGCACCTCTCACTTGTTCACGCGCTTGAACAAGATTGTTCTGATGTTGTTGTCTCTCAACAATACGCAGCACGGACTTCATGTCTTCTCCCAGTCAAGTTTTTCTGCAACGATAGTAGTCCCTAATAATTCCATTTGTGGCGTTTTCTGGACCGCTACGGTGGTTTTCTATAAATTCCAAAAGGCGGCTAATGTGCTGGGATGCCTTAACTGCATTCAAAGCTACGGATTGGAGCACGTTTACCACAGGTTCCATCATAGCCGAGTATTTGGCTGTCAAAATAAAGCTGAGAATAAACGAAGCTCTAGAAGCTGCTGCATGGAGCTGATAAGTATTTTTTCTAGTCACATTATTTATTCTTATTTTCTTCCCGTGACAAGGTTTCAAAGGCCTCCATTATAATAGGAAAATTCTCATTAAAAACACTAATATTTTTGTGTTTCTCGCTCCACCTTGTTTCGCTAAGCTTGGAAATATTTGGTATCAATTTGCGTCTCAAAACTGATTCTTGAAAAAATTATAATAATATCTTTGATGGTACCTTCCTTTGATGAAGGAACAAAGCTTTTTTTATATTTTCTGCGTAGGATTGCTTGCACACCACCTTCTAAACCGACACATTTGTCCGGATCAAGATCTTTTTCTGCCAAAAACTCATCAGTGACCCCCCTCTGCCCCTCTCTGGCGACAGTATGTACATAATATATGTTTATTTACATTGCATCTTTTATGATCTTATGGTATTTTTCGACCATTTCGTATGAATAGAATTTTTTCAACTGCTTTGAAATAAAACTATACAGGGTGTATCTAAATTGATCCGAAAGATTTTAAAGGATGATTTTTCAGCGCAAATTAAGGAGGGTCTCTTATATAACTTTTTGGTTAAAACCACTTCTCCTCCAAATTACAGCCCTCTAAAATTAGGGGAAAGAAATTGTTTTTCTTTTATAAATCCACTATGGAGGAATTTAGAAGGATAAAATTTAGCAGATAACTATTACTATACTCTGTTTTTAAACTAGGGGGAGTATTTTAAATTTGTCACCAGATTGACCTTGCACGTGATTGGTTGAATGCGAGGAAGGTTCACACACAGGCAATTTTGAATTTTGATTTTGAATTTCAGATTGACCTTGCACGTGATTGGTTGAATGCGAGGAAGGTTCACACACAGGCAATTTTGATTTTGAATTTGAAGGTTAGGTTATTGATAATTCTTCAGTTTCGTATCATTGTTGTAAATTTTGTTTAAACCCTTTTGCGTCTTAAATTTAATTGAGTGAAATCTGTTCTTTTTAGAACAAGGTATGGATCGCGACCCTAATCGCAACAAATTTCACCTCCGAAAAAGCGTAAATTGTTGAATTTAGGACACTTAGCTTTGTTTGAAAAGCAAAGTATCCTAAATCTCTACAAGCAATACATTAATGACGAAAACCCAATGACAATTAGTGATATTGTTGATAAAATTGTCGAGGTTGCTGGTAAGAAGAACGTGTTAAAAATTATATCAAGCCAAATAATGTTTTATTTGTAGGGGTAGCAAAATCAACTATACCGTGTGGTGAAGGAAAGGTTACGAGTCCCAAAGAGCTAGGTGGGAGACCTGGAATTATAACAGAGTTTAATAATTTTACTAAAGTTTCCATATGCCAAATTTGTCACAGTTTCTTTTATAAAAACGAAATTCCAATTTTGAACAAAATTATAAAGGAGCTACACAGTCATCCAGAGTTACCAAAGCTATCTCGATCGTTACTGTATAAAGTGATGAAAAATATTAATTTCAGTTAAACCACAACCTTCAAAGATCACATTTTGATAATTTATTACGAGCTGAATACGAGTTATGTTATAATGTTTTTTTATAGGTACATGAAGAGAAATCGCAAGAGTATTCTAACCGAACGTGACCATATAATTGTTTGGCGACGACAGTATTTAAAAAGTATTAAAAACTATCGCTGTGGAAGACGACCAATTTACTATCTAGATGAGATATGGATTAATGAAGGTCATACAACAAAGAAAGTGTGGGTAGATGAATGAATTCAGAGCAAGAGGCAGGCATTTATCGAAGGGTTAACTACGGGGCTTAAAAATCCATCAGGAAAAGGAAGACGATTAATTATACTGCATGTTGGTTCTGAATCAAGTTTTGTTAACGGAGGATTGTTAGTTTTCGAAGGTAAAAAACTACTGATTACCATGAAGAAATGAATGCAAAAGTATTTGAAGAATGGTTTCAAAATCTATTAGAAAAATGACCTGAGAATGCAGTTACTGTAATGGACAACGCTTCATACCATAGTCGTAAGGCCGAGAAAATACCAAGTACATCCTCAACTAAGAAACAAATACAAAGTTGGCTTGCTTTAAAAAATATTGTATACGAAGAAAACATGGTGCGATCCGAATGATTGACATTGATAAAAGCACATGTATGATCTATATGCATGCGATGAGTTAGCAAGAAGGAAAAATAAAATTGTGTTGCGGTGTAGTACCTAGAAGTACCTCGAATTATTGGAGATCTACACTAATTTTTCGTTTATTTCTTTTATTTTGTATGTAAATTTAATTTACGGTAACAATTCGAGGTATTTGACGATCTCGGATATCTAGATTAATGTTATTGATTAATTTTTATTAATAAATAATTTTTACATTTTTTTCAAAAATTTTCTGATGTAGGGCTACAAAAATTTCAGTCATCTCTATCAAATGAGCCTAACGAAAGGGTACATTGCCATTTAAAAAAATTCACGTGTTAGTCGTTACTCATTTGTTTTCTGACTTAAAAACAATTGAATGCAGTCTTATTATGGCAAATAAACTATTAAGCAAATTTTGTATAAAATGTATTTTTATAAAGTCAACATTTACCGAGATATATACTATATTCCATACATAATGGGCACCCTGTATACAGGATGATTCAAAAAATCACTGACAGACTTCTAGAGTAGATAATACATGAAAAATTAAGATGAATAGTCTTAATATACATGGGGTCGCAAATGTCTCGTTGGCGAGATATAGCGGATCAAAGTTTTTTTAAAATTAAACATTGTCTGCTATAAAAAGCACTTTTTTACAAATATTATCTACGCCATTGCTCTCTACGCGTGTAAAGTGATCAATTATCTATCAATTGGTCTCTTAAAAATCTTTGATCAAAGCAATAGTTTTTAAGAAAAACACGTTTGTAGAAAATTTGTTAATTCAATCAGAAACGGTTGCTTTAATCAAAGTTTTGTAAGAGACCAATTGATAGATAATTGATCACTTTACACGAAAATACTGTCCGTTTGACAAAATTAGCAGTGGAGTTTAAAAAAGAGCTTTTTATTGCAGATAATGTTTACTTTTAAAGAAACTTTCACCCGCTATATTTCGTTAAGGAGGCATTTGCGACCTCATGTATATTAAGACTTTTCATCTTAATTTTTGATGTATTACCTGCCCTAGAAGTCTGTCAGCGGTTTTTTGAATCAACCTGTATATAAATTTTATTTTATTTACTTTTGTAAAAATTTATTTTAAAATAAATACACTCATAACCTCAATGTTAATTTGTATGTTTAGTGTTGACGATAATAAACGAAAATAAATACAATAATAAGTAAATAGATAATAATAATTATTAATTTAAATTTACCGCCAAAATATCTAGTGATATTTTCTGGTGATTTTTCCTAGTGTAAATCTGACTTTCGCGTTTACTCCTCCTGGTTTAAAAACAGAGTATACGGCTCATTTTTTTTTACATTAGCAATGCAATATGGCATTGATAAGACAGACCGTTACTTAGCTGCGTCCTTAGATCGGTTATTAGGGGAGGTTTTCTTGTGTGAAATCTAATGTCCCTTTTTGGCAAGGAAATTAACGCCAAGAGCGGCAATAGAAGAAGGAATAATTAAATTTTGTAAATTTATAAACAATAAAATGGTTTTAAATAGAGGTCAAAATTACTACTTCCAAATTCCACGTTGTATCAAGGTAGAAATGGTATAAAGATACAATAACAAATGTTTAATATTATCATTATTTATATTACTATTTTTTTTAGATTTCTAAAGATCCTTATTTTTGGAACGAGAAAATGAAAGGAAAATTGAACAAAATTTATTTCACACTAGGAGTTTAGCCATTAGAAACAAAACACCCTAGATAAAATAATAAAAGTAAAGATTCAGCCATTTCTTGATCTTGCTCTATTAATTTTGTTCCTATAACATCGCATTGAAAGAGTAACTTTTTGATATTTGTTTTTGAATATCTCTACTCCCAATTATCTATTAATAAATTAATTTCGTCTATTATTTTGTACAATTGTGTAAATTTTAACTGTTTACAAATATTTGTTATCAATATTTGTTATAAATCACTATTTTTCATTACAGTACAATACCGCGTTTTACATAAAAAATTTTATTTATGTTCATCTGCATAATCCACAAAATTACCAAAATTCTGTTAGATATTTACTGATGAAGTCTTTTTCTATATTCTCCATAAAAAAACGGGTAATATAAACATATTCAAATCAAATAAACTGTTTGGGCGAAAGATAAATAAACGGATTGAGAACAGTAAAAAGCTATTGTTCGTTATCAGAAAAATCGTTCGTTATCAGCCCCTCAGAAACTCTATGATGGTGAGACTACAGCCTTAATTATTTTTTTACCTTGCTTATCTCCAGTAAGTACCCAAATTTTAATCCCAGCCAAAATTAAATTTGCAATGGTTTGAGGAACCCCATCTTGAAGTTTATCTTCAATGGCAGTGACACCCAATAAAATCATATTCCTTTCGATCTCCTCATAAATCATATCGAGCTTTTCATCGCGATCATCCAGTGAAAGAGCCGCTTGTTGATGCCTTTGTTTCCAATCATTGAAGAATTCCTCATCTAAATCGCGATAAGCCAAGCATAAAGTCCGCAAACCTTCCCCAGCAAATTTCTAAACCAAAAAAAAAATTAATTAATTTGATCAATTAATATGTTTGGAATGATTACATTTAAATGTTCTTGTGTTCTTAATTTCATCTCTTCATTCCCGGGTTTTAACCTTTCGTAAATAACATTATCCGCCCCTTTACAATACAACCTCAATTTTCCATCTTTTCTCAAAATAACCGACATTCGTTTCCGGACGTTATTAAAATCCAAAATACAAAGCAACTCGTACACTTCCAACGCATTCATAACCTCAATTGTAATACTGTTTGGCGAACGTTCTTTAAAAACAAAACCAAAATTTCTTGCCGCCGAAACTAGGGCAGCCTCATCAGGAGATTGTGCTTGATATTCTAATTTATCATCACGATTTTCCGACATAACCGTATGACAAAGCGCCAATAACCTAAAAATTAATTTTTTAAAAAATTGCGTTAAAAATAAATTAATCAATACCTAAAAAATTCGTGACAATCCGAATCGTTATGTTTAACAGCTTCAGTTAAATTGCGATCGTAAAATCGAAAATCCGGTTCAAAATTAACATTCCATGAAAAATCTAACGGCGTCGTGTCTTCCGTAATCGCCACAATTTCACCCGTATTTTTATCAATTACATCACCAAACGATCGACCCGCAATCGAACACTTATTAAACGTCATAATATTTTGCGTTAAAGTCCCCGTTTTATCCGAGAAAATGTACTCGATCTGTCCCAATTCTTCGTTTAACGTCGTCGTTCTCGCCTTCGCGTGAGTTCCGGTTTTGTCATGGTACATTTGCTCGTCCCAATTAATGAGGAAACTTTGCACAAATCTGATCACCTCGACGGAAACGTAAAGTGAGATCGGCACGACCGTGTTAAGTACGATCGCGTACGAAAAGAAGACGAGCAGCGCGATTATGGTGGCGCCGCCCAGCGGCTCCGAAGGCACTAGAGAGTCCCAGGGTAGGAACGTTTGGAAGTAACGGCCGACCAGCGACTCCCAAATACCGCACGCGATCATACAGAAAAGGCACATTGACAATAGGAAGAAAACTATCTAAAAAATACAATCAAATTAATAAAAATGTGGTAATTATAATTGAATCGGCAGATGTAAAAAGGGGTTATGTAACATTTCTTTTTAAACATGAGGATAATGGAGGAAAATGATCACTTGGACCCACATAATGTGTAAAAACGGAGTTCCAAGCCCTAACAGATAGTGTAGATTTGGCTGGCTTTAAATCTGGTACTTTGTAAGAACGGGACATGTGAATAATAATAATAATAAATGCCTTTATTAGAAAATAAGCTTAATTGTATAACAAAAAACATACAAAGGAAAATGGGCGAGTTCCAGCTTGTACTAGTTAGTACAGCTGCTCTAACTAACCTAAGAAACAAAAAAAGAAAAACTTGACTCGGCCAAAAATTACAAAGCAACAGCTAGATACAACAACAAGATTGCAAAACATCTCAGATCAGCGTTTGCCCCCATGTAGACATTGTTCAAGAAAACAAGAATTTTTCTGTGTAAATTTAAACATTCCTAGTGAGAACCCCTTGCAATTATCGTCCACCTCATTATATTTCGAAGTTATTTGAAATACGTATGACCTCTGAAATAAAGACAAACGATAAAAGGGTGGCGACAGTTTTCCGCGAAATCGCGTATTTATTCGGTGGACATCATTTCGGAAAGTTATTAGTTGGTAGAGATACTGTGGTTCCTTATAGTTTATAATTTTATGGTATAGGCACAAACACTGCACTTTCCTACTGTTCACGCATCACATTATTAGTTTCTTATTATTGTTTATTTTCGTTATTCGTTATTATTTGGTTTCGGTTCGTTCCATTGATTGCGGGTGGGGGAGAACCAGTTCTTTTTTTTTTGGGGAAGTTGGTCTCAATTTTTGGTGACATTGTGATTTTAACTCTGGTCCAGACCATACCCTCGAACGAGAATTTTAAGGTATCGTGTGTCGTGAAGATAGATGAGAACCGTATTTAAAACCGAAACGAGTGAAAACAAAGTGTGCGACTTGAAGAAAGGCTGTACCGATTAATCAAAAGTCTAGCTAGTGAAGAAAAGAACAATTAACAGCGTGGTTAATCAATGGTCGGTAAGTGAATCAGCCCTGTCCCATAAAAAATTGTATTGAATGTTACTGCACATAACACCTATGATGATACATATTTAGCCATCCTGCATCCTTCAGTTTATAAGATATTCTGTTATATTTTCTAATTCCATATATATGTCGTAGGCATATTGCGAAATCCGACTTATTACAATAAGCGCCTTAAATAACGCATTATACTTGTTGAAACGTGTGCGCCGCAGTAGCATCGCATATTGTTCTTGGTTTTCTTATAGGTTAGTTTAACTATTGTTGCAGTGCAGTCAACGACAAACAACTAATAAGGTAAACAAAAGTAGAAGAGCGTGAAACGTAGGTAGAAATGTAGAAAGTTTATCGATTAAAGGGGTGTCTAGCTGTTAATTTCAAACACAGTTGTTAGGTATAGTACACTAGTTTATTGAAACAAAACGCCGTATTTTATTGGTTTTAACCGTTACACAACTGTNCCCAGGGTAGGAACGTTTGGAAGTAACGGCCGACCAGCGACTCCCAAATACCGCACGCGATCATACAGAAAAGGCACATTGACAATAGGAAGAAAACTATCTAAAAAATACAATCAAATTAATAAAAATGTGGTAATTATAATTGAATCGGCAGATATAAAAAAGGGTTGTGCATTTTTTTTTTAAACATGAGGATAATGGAGGAAAATGATCACTTGGTCCTACATAGTGTGTAAAAACAGTTCCAAGCTCTAACAGATAGTGTAGATTTAGCTGTCTTTAAATCTGGTACTTTGTAAGAACGGGACATGTGAATCACATGGCTCTTTTTTACAACATCCATTCTTCGTCAAGAGAGACCTCTAGTAGTGCTCTTTTCCCCCTCTCTACAGTTCCTAAATTTATTATTATTATTAATTATTAGTGATGGAACGGATAGTAATTATGCGAAAAGCCGGATACCGGATATTGGGCATCCCCTTCGGCCGGATATCCGATTATCTAGGATATATATCCGGCCATTATGGTTATAATTTCTGGTGCATTTTTGAAGTGCTACCCTATATTACCACATTATTGCGATATTTGAATAAAAATAAAATTAATCTGAAAGATGATAAGATATGTCAACTTATTTGGATCCATACAAAATGAACTTTTTTGATGCTGATTTAACTAACGAAGCAACTCTAAAAAGAGAATACTTTAATTAATAATTGGCGATATTTCCACAAGGATCCTTCAAGAAATTAGTTTTATAGCGAATTTTGAAAATTATCGATGAAAATTGCAACATCAAAAATTTTATCAAAACTTCAAATATTGTTTTCTCAAAAACTAAAAGCTATTTTTCAAAACGGGTTGGTTCATTGGAAAGAAGACACTTTTATTAACACTTTGGGAAATTTTCATATTCATATTCCAAGAAATGGATTATATACGAACTTTTAAAACTTAATCGGCGAAAATTACAAAGTTCGAAAAAATTGTTGATCATTTCAAAAATTTATTTCTTAAAAACTAAAGCGATTTTTCAAAATGGCTTGTTGCATTAAAAAGAGGATACTTTAATTAATAATTAGTGATATTTCCACAAGGATCCTTTAAGAACTTAATTTTATAGCGAATTTTGAAAAATATCGATTAAAACTGCAACATCGAAAATTTTATCATAACTTCAAATATTGTTTTCTCAAAAACTAACAGTTATTTCTCAAAACCTGTTGGTTCATTGGAAAGAGAACATTCTTATTAACACTTTGGGAAATTTTCATACCAATATTCCAAGAAATGGATTACATACGAACTTTTAAAACTTAATCGGCGAAAATTGCAAAGTTTGAAAAAATTGTCGATTATTTCAAAAATTTATTTCTCAAAAACTAAAAGCGATTTTTCAAAACGGCTTGTTGTAATAAAAAGAGGATACTTTACTTATTAATTGGTGATTTTTCCACAAGGATCCTTAAAGAAATAAAATTTATAGCGAATTTTGAAAATTATCGATGAAAATTGCAACATCGAAAGTTTAATCAAAACTTCAAATATTGTTTTCTCAAAAACTAAAAGTTATTTTTCAAAACGGGTTGGTTCATTGGAAAGAAGACACTTTTATTAACACTTCGGGAAATTTTCATACTCATATTCCAAGAAATGGATTGTATACGAATTTTTAAAACTTAATCGTCGAAAATTGCAAAATTCGAAAAAATTGTCGATTATTTCAAAAATTTATTTCTCAAGAACTAAAAGTGATTTTTCAAAACAGCTTTTTGCATTAAAAAGAGGATACTTTAATTAATAATCGAAAGTGATAACAGCGACAGTTCTGTTAGTAATGAATGTGATGATAAATTACAAGCAAAGAGAAGAAAACTAGACGAAACTGCAACAAGAGATTTTATATATCGTATTGGGATTGTTACAATGAGGTTGCTAATGACAAACCTGATATAAATAAAGTTGTATTCAATGAAAAAAGTCCTATTGGGGTTGAACTTGACTATTATCTGCAGTGTCCAACACCTAAAAGAGATACTAATTCCTGTGAATGAGTGGATTATTAAGTAATAGGTTTTTAATACCCGGCCAAATTCGGCCGGATTTTAGTAAATAGCCGGATATTATTCGTTTCACCACTATTAATAAAATTATTATTAATCATTCTTTGCTAAAAATGTGTATGGCCTTAATGGAACTAAAAATCTTCAAAAAAGTTGAAATTTTCTTTCTCTTAACTCTTACCGCTGCAGTGGTACAAAAAAGTGGTCTATAATGTAGACCACGCATTTAATAGTATATTATTATATGAGTATATAATGAGGGCTATTATTCACGAAGGTTAAGTTTATGTCACGAGCGTAGCGAGTGGCATAATTAACCTGAGTGAATAATAGCTCATTATATGCGAGTAGAATACTATACTTTGTCCACGACTATTGAAATTGATTCCATAAATTTATTTTTTAAATAAATTTTTGAATAAAGGTCAATGTGACACAAATTCAATGTTACTAACTGTAACCAACTTCACAACAATTTGTCAAAATTAAGTGTCAGTTTTATAAAACGTCGTTTTCTTTACGAAAATTAATTAATTTATGCTTAAATCATACGAAAAAAGGAATTTGTTTAGATTTTTTTAATGTCAAACATTTAGAAACTCCTAAAAAATTGAATTAAATTGACGTTTTTTGAACTTTTAACGTTTCAAATAATTATTATTAGTCTGGTCAAGATGGCTACCCGTGAATAATGATTATTATTCACCGCTATTATTCACTCCGTGAAAAATGACTAGCATTTTGTTTTAGAAAACTCATTCATAAGGTATATATTATAAGGTAGTCGTGGACAAAATTATTTTTCTACTTTCGCAGCGTCAAAAATTTTAAATCCCCGTCGTTGTTCGTACGTTAGTGCATTGTAAATGACTCATCACTGTATTATTACATGAACAAACCTGTTTAGCGCATAGCGGGCGAATTTAAAGTTAATTGTTTATAGTTCGTATATGTCTCTACAAATTGAGCACATATTTATCAAAAATAATTATTTATTTTTGTTTTTTTTTATTTGAAAGAGTGTTACATTAGTTCAGGTAAGTTGAATATATTGTTTTACAAATATATAGTTTTGATAACCAGTAATTATTTTGATTATATGATTCAAAATTTGTAAAATGATAGGTGGACCATGCATTTTTTGTGTGCCAGTAAAAATGTCTACAAATGCATTTCTCTACAGGAAATGTCCGGCAATGACGATCTATCATTTCCTCTAGTAGGAATGAGTCGACAGGATCTTGAGAATGACTTGGAAAAAAACCTGTACGCTTGTTCTTTGCCGTTTGTGACGAGTCAGATTTAGGGGATATAGATGAAGATATAAATACAAATATTGATATTTATTCCAGTGAAAGTGATTCAGATGACAACAAACTGTACTTCAAGCAAAAATTAAAAAAAAGTTAACTACAGTTATCCAGCCACCAATTTGGGGTAAAACGGAAAGACTTTTTTCACCTCGCCCTTTTAGCCAAATCAGCGGTGTTCGTGACGAAATAGCCAACTCAAATCCGACACCATATTCTCTGTTTCAACTATTTTTCGGAGAAAATTTTATAAATCATATAGTTTTTCAAACAAACTGATATGCCGAGCAAGAACAAATGCGTACTGGAAAACATTACAGGAGAACGAGGTGCGAAGAAATAAATGCCTTTTTAGGAATAAATTTACTTATGGGGATCAAGCATTTGCCAAGTTATAAAGATTATTGGTCCAGTGCACCAGATTTACGTGATTCTTACATTAGCTCCCTTATGACGCAAAAAAGAAATAATAATATATAAATAACGCTGCTATGCCTAATAGGGTTTCGGAATATTTTGATCGCCTTTATAAAGTATGGCCGTTGTTAGATCATTTAGAAAAAGGTTTTAAATATTGTCTTTTACCAAGTGAAGTATTAGCCTTGGACGAGTCGATGATCAAATTTAAAGGTAGAAGTGTGCTAAAACAGTATACGCGTAAGAAACCTATAAAAAGGAGTTACAAAGTATGAATGCTCTGCGACAAGTCAGGATACTGCTTGAGATTCGATATTTATGTTGGAAAATACCAGTATCAACTTATGGGATAGAGCCTAGGTTCTAGGGTTGTGTACAAGCTTGTTGAGGGTTTTGAACAAAAAACCATACAATATTTTTTGATAATTTTTTTAACAGTGTGGAACTAATGCAAAATTTGAAGCAACGTGGGACATATGCAGTTGAAGAAGAAAATATTTACCTAATTTCAAAACGGACAAGCAGCTCCAAAGAGATGAATTCGACTGGTAACAAGCGATACAAAACTATTTGCAGTAAAATGGAAAGAAAAAAGATCAGTACACCTTTTATCAAATTATCACAATCCTGAAGATTGCACGAAAGTTAATAGAAGAGAAAAAAATTGAAATATATTGGAAATAGTGTGCCCAAAAGTGCTAACTGATTATAACGCCAACATGAACAGTGTCGATAAATTCGATCACCTTTTAGCCAGCTACAAAATAGATCGTCAAAGCAACAAATGGTGGCATATTTTTCTACTTCCTAGATGCTTCTATGGTAAATGCTTATTACCTATATAAAACAATGAATCTGCTTGATAAATTAACGGCAAAAGATTTCAGGAGGGTTGCTGTAGTCGGTCTTGTAAGCCCAGTTTTAATATAATTCCAAAAGGACTACGAAATCACAACCAAAAACACAAATTAAAAAATCAAAGCCGTTTATACCAGAGAGTGTGCAATTAAATTCCAATTCCACTAAGGCAAAGCCAGTGCGCACTGACTAGCTATGTAGTACTTGTCAAGTACCACTTTGTTTAGGGAAACTAAAATCCTATTTTCAAGCTTATCACAGTAAATAATTTTTTTATTTTTGTTTTTGTCAAGATTATTGTTTTTTATTATAAAATTTACAGAATGCGAATATGTTCAAAATAGATATAGGATATTTTGTTTTTATGCAAATGGAGTGGTGGTACAAAAACTGGACCTCCAATTTTTTAAAAAACTGTATATGCTTTGATGCAATATCATATGATTTCAACCTATATATGACCTTTTAAAATCGTTTACTTAAAGAATCTAAAAAAAAACAAAGTTTTGTGTCAAACACCTGCTCTAGTAAGAGTTAACACTATCACTAGAACTAACACAAGACCAGATTTAGCGACCGAAAAAGTGGATTTACATGTATACCATGAAGGTATAGCAAAAAAGACTCCCAATGAAGTTTGCAATTTACTAGTGAGTTAGCTATATTAACAAATATAAGACAGATGATCAAGAAAATCGTCTCTTTTCCGACGGTTGCAGTGAAAAAAATAAAAATCATTCGTTGCTAAAAATGTCCCTTTGGCAGAGACTTGGGAGCAGTTAAGCAAACTTTTACGCGAAATTGATCGGATCTATACGCCTAATGAATATGAGGTATTAATGAAAAATTTAAGCAAAACAGGAAGATTTAATATAATAAGAGACGACTGAAAAAATAAAGAAGTTTAAGAAGTGGTGGCCTACAGTTTACAAGAGATCATGCATTTTATATGACAGTTATAGAAAGCACGTCAAAAAAGAAGACAAAGTAAGTTTAAAGTTATCTTCCATGCGTCAGTTTATTATCACTGAACCAAATGTATCTCCTCCCATAAATGTTTTAACGGATTAAGTCAGGTATAATACACTCAGCGCGATTTTTTGTCTCGCCTGTAAAATTAGATTTTTGCTACATAACCCCTTTTTACAACTGCCAATTAAATTCTTTCTTACTCCTATGATTAAGAAATTAAGTAGACGATCGATGCTAGTCCTCTTAAATTTGGTCTTTCCACTGTTTTGCATCAACTTTGTATCCTTCCCAGCGAAGATGACGACTCCATAGCACCATTGAGTATTACGTAAAACGCAGCCGCGCAAAATAATCTTGTCGTTATCAAGAGAATACTGCTTATTTTGCCAGGTGAGTGTACCTTCGAATTTATTTAAGAGATTATTCGGTTGTTCACATATTATTTCACCATCAAATTGGCTAATCAAGCCGTCGTCTTGCGCCATTTCGGCCGTTTCCACCAGACACTGTCTACATTTCAAATTTGTTTCCCTAAAAAATGTATGTATTAAGATAATATATTAAAAAAATAATAATTATTTTACCCATCTAATTCTGCCGTTTCGATAAAGCACAATCCATTTGGCTCGCTAGTTGTAAGTAATAAGATATCAGCGGCTACAAATTGGTTGTTATCCATTCGAATGATATCACCAACTTGAACTGCAGACCATCGTTCTTGTACGAGTTTTCCGTTTCTTACTGCTTGAGATTTTCTATTGTTTACTTGTGAGTCGGACATGTGACGTTGCTAAAAAAATAATACTTTATTTTTGCATTTAAAAATTAATTTAGCAGAACTTGATCATAATTATATTAGAAAATATTCATACAAAATCATCGTAGGCATCCTTGATGGCGGTTAATCCGAGGACGCCAATGAGAGGCAGAGCCGTGGTGACTGGTGTTAAACTGCTAATTGCCGGGATGAGTTGCAATACTAAAAGGCACAAGAAGTAAAAGTTGGCGAGACGTTGGAACTGCTCGAACAGGTTTAATGGGAGGAACGTTAACACTGAATATTTAGAGGTTTTAATGTAATTATCCTGCAAAATAAAATTATAATCAGCTGAATTAATTAAATAATAAATAAACTTACCGCATAACGGAATTGTGAATTATAATTTCTGTCGTTAGCCTTGATCCTTCTTTGATTATCTAGAAAAAAAAATAAAGAAATAAAAAGTGAATAGAAAAATAGAACGTTTTTAATCAAAAAGAAATTAAATAGATTGGAAATATGGATTGGAAATGGGACATACCGGATACTCCTAATAAGGCTCTTTTTAAAGATAGGGAAAGTCTCTTTATGGTGCTTGAAGATACTTGGCTTCGACTTTGCGATAAATTACCTTTATCAGTCATTTACCATATTTGAAAATGTTCTTTCTACAAAAATATCAAACTATTTTTAATATTATAACCTAAGTTATTTTATGACAGCTTTCATTAAAATATTGTCTTGTCGGAATAAACTCGAGCAAAATTGTATGTATTTAACGAAATCTATCGAAAATTACTTGAAATATACCTTCTTGATTTTTTTTTCAGGTAGCGAGATCTTGTACATGTCTTGAAAAGGTTAAACCTAAAGATTAAAAAAAGAATTTGTTTGATGGGTAATACCACCTTGTGTGTACAAAGTCATAGGTTATTTTTCTTATAAGATAAAGTGATAAGTAAATCAAT